CAAGGGAGAAACAGACAGTAACAAACAAGGGAGCCCCAATACGGCTAGCAGCTGGTTTCTCAACAGAAACACTATAAGCCAGAAGGGAATGGCAAGAAATAGTAATGAGAAGTAACCAAGACTACTCTATTCAGCAAGGCTGTCATTTAACATGGAAGGTGTAATACAGAGTTTCCCAGACAAAAAGAAAGTTAAAAGAACACATCTCCACCAAACCAGCACTACAAGACATGCTAAGGGGACTGCTTTAAGAAGATGAAGGCATTCAGTGAGAGAGAGAGAGGACACAGGTACAACAGGAAAAAATGGCAATGGATAGTAGTAACCTATCCATTAGGTTGATAGAAGTAACCTATCAGTAGTAACCTTAAAGATAAATGGATTAAATGCTCCAATCAAAAGACATAGGGTAGGTGAAGGAATAAGGAAAGATGATCCGCATATATGCTGTTTACAAGAGATCCACCTCAGAATAAAAGACCTATACACACTTAAAGTGAAGGGTTGGAAAAAAATATTCCAAGCAAATGGACAGGGAAAAAAACCAGGGTAGCAATACTTACATCAGACAAAAGAGATTTCAAAACAAAGGCCATAAATGGAGACAAAGAAGGTCATTTCACAATTCCAAAGGGAAGAATTTATCAGGAAGCTATAAACATTGTAAACGTACATGTACCCAACACAGGAGCACCCAAATATATAAGGAAAATCTTGGAGGACTTCAAGAAAGATATAGAAAGCAACACAATTATAGTAGGGAATTTTAACACCCCATTGTCAACAATGGTCAGATCTTCCGAACAAAGAATCAACAAGGACATTGTGGCACTGAGCAACATGCTAGATCAAATGGGCTTAATTGATATATACAGAAGCTTTCACCCCAAAGAAGCAAAATATACATTCTTTTCAAAGGCACATGAAACACTTTCCAAGAGAGGCAACATGATAGGACATAAAACAAGTCTCAACAAATTCAAGAAAACTGAAATTATATCAAGCATTTTCTCAGATCACAACAGCTTGAAACTAGGAACGAACCTCAAGGAAAATACTCAAAAACAGTCAAATACATGGAGACTGAATAACATGTTATTAAACAATGAATGGGTAAACAGGAAGATCAAGCAAGAAATCAAAAAGTTTCTGTAAATAAATGAAAATGAACACACAACAATCCAAAACCTATGTGACACAGCAAAGGGAGTCCTGAGAGGGAAGTTCAGAGCAATATAGGCCTACCTGAAAAATACAGAAAAATTTCAAATAAACAATCTAACCCTACATCTCAAAAATTGGAGGAACAATAACAAACAAAACCCAGAGTAGAAGGAAGGAAATAATCAAGATCAGAGCAGAAATAAATGGCATGGAGACTAAAAGAACAATCCAAAGGATCAATGACTCCAGGAGCTGGTTCTTTGGAAGATAAACAAAATTGTCAAGCCTTTATCCAGACTCACCAAGAAAAAAAAAAAGAGATGATCCAAATAAATAAAATCAAACATGAAAGAGGCAAAGTTATAACCGATACCACAGAGATACAAAGGATCATAAGAAATTACTACAAACAACTATACGCTAAGAAATTTGAAAACCTGGGTGAAATGGACAAACTTCTGCAAACATATAATCTCTAAAACTGAGTCAAAAAGAAGCAGAACGCTTGAATAGACCAATATCAGCTAGTGACATTGAAGCAGTAATAATAATAAAAAAAAAACAAACCCCACAAAAACCCAAAACAACTCCTGGCACACAAAAGCCCTGGATTGGGCAGCTTCACAAGTGAATTTTATCAAACATTTAAGGAAGAACTAACTCCTATCCTTCTCAAACTACTCCAAAAATTTCAAGAAGAGGGAAGACTCCCAAACTCTTTTTACAAGGCCAGTAGCATCCTATTCCAAAACCAGGTAAAGACAAAATAAAGAAAGAAAACTACTGGACAATATTGCTGAGGAACATAGATGCTGAAATCCTCAACAAAATATTGGCAAATCGGATCCAGCAATACATTAAAAAGATTATACATCATGATCAAGTGGGACTCATGCCAGGGATGCAAGGATGGTACAATATTCACAAATCAATAATATCCCACATAAACAATATGAAAGACAAAAACTACATGATCATATCAGTAGACGCTGAAAAGGCATTTGATAAAGTATAGCACCCATTTATGATAAAAACACTCAGTAAAGTTAGAATAGAGGGAGTATACCTCAACATAATAAAGGCCATATATGAGAGACCTACAGCCAACATCATACTCAAAGGGCAAAAACTAAAAGCTTTCCCCGTAAGAACAGGCATAGGACAAGGGTTTCTACTTTCACCACTTCTATTAAACATAGTCTTGGAAGTTCTAGCCACAGTGATCAGACAAGAAAAAGAAATAAAGGCATCCAAATAGGAAAGGAGGAAGTAAAGCTGTCACTATTTGCAGATGACACAATAGTGTATATAGAAAACCCTATAGTCTCCACCAAAAAACTACTTGACCTACTAAGTGAATTTGGCAAAGCAGCAGGATACAAAGTCAACATTCAGAAATAGAAGGCATTTTTGTACACCAACAATGAAATATCAGAAACAGAAATTAGGAAAAAATTCCCATTTACTATAGCAACAAGAAAAATAAAATACTTAGGAATAAACTTAAGCATGTAGGTAAAAGACCTGTACTCAGATAACTATACAACACTGAAGAAAGAAACTGAGGAAGACACAAATAAATGGAAGCACGTAACATGTTCATGGATTAGAAGAATTAACATCATCAAAATGTCCATACTACCCAAAGCAATCTATAGAGTCAATGTAATCCCTATCAAAATACCAATGACATATTTCACAGATATAGAACAAACATTTCAAAAATTTATATAGAACCATAAATGACCCCAAATAGCCTCAGCAATTTTGAGAAAGAAGAACAAAGTAGGATGGATCACAATACTTGACATCAAACTATATGACAAGGCCACTGTAATCAATACAGCCTGGTACTGGCATAAGAACAGACACATACCTGACAGAACAAAATAGAGATCCCAGAAATAAACCCATGTCAATATGGTCAGTTAGTATTTGACAAGGGGGGCAGGAACATAAAATGAAGCAAAAAATATCCTCTTCAATAAATGGTATTGGGAGATCTGGAAAAGTACATGCAAAAAAAAAAAAAAACTAGATCACCAACTTACACCATACACCAAAATAAACTCAAGGTGGATAAAAGACTTAAATATAAGTTGTGATGCCATAAAAGTCCTAGAGGAAAACATAGGCAGGAAAATTTCAGATATCCCATGCAGCAATATTTTCACCGATACAATCCCTAGGGCAAGGGAAATAAATGAAAGAATAAACAAATGGGACTATATCAAATTAAAAAGCTTCTGCACAGCTAAAGAAAATATCAACAAAATGTGAAGGGAATCAATAGTGTGGGGAAACACATTTCCCAATGATACCTCAGACATGTGTTTGATCTCCAAAATATATAAAGAACTCACATGGCTCCACACCAGGTAGACAAACAATGCAATTAAAAAATGGGCAATGGACCTAAACAGACACTTCTCCATGGAGGACATACAGAGAGGGCTCATAGACACATGAAAAAAATGCTCAACATCACTAGCCATTAGAGAGATGCAAATTAAAACCACAATGAGATGCCACTTCTCAGAAGTCAGAATGGCCATCATTAATAAATCAATAAACAATAAGTGCTGGAGAGGTTGTAGAGAAAAAGGAAACCTAGTACACTGTTGGTGGGAATGCAGAATGGTGTAGCCACTGTGGAAAACAGCATGGAATTTCCTCAAAAACTAAAGATGGAACTGCCTTTCAATCCAGTGATCCCACTGCTGGGACTATAATCTAAGAATCCCGAAACACCAATTCAAAAGGATCTATGCACCCCAGTGTTCACAGTAGCATTATTTAAAACAGCCAAGTGCTGGAAACAGCCTAAGTGCCCATCAGTAAATGAGTGGATCAAAAAACTGGCACATTTACACAATGGAATATTATGTAGTAGAAAGAAGGCACTCTTACCTTTGGGACAGCATGGATGGAACTGGAGAGCCTTATACTAAGTGAAATAAGCCAAGATACTATATGGTGAAAGACAAATACCATATGATCTCACCTATAAGTAGAACCTAATCAACAGAACAAACAACTTAGCAAAATAGAACCAGAGACTTGGAGATTAAGAACAAACTGACAGTGACCAGAGGTGGAGGGAGGAAAAGGCAGGAAAGAAGGGGAGGGGCAATCAAAGGAACAGGAATAGAGGACTCACAGGCATGGAAAATGGCAGGGGGATTGACTATGGGAGTGGGGTTGGATAGGAGTAGGGGTGAGCAATAGGGAGAAAGGCAGGACAACTGTAACTGAACAACAATATTTAAAAAATTTCAATTTTATATGGTTCAAAACTAAATATATTTAGTACTATATTCCATGTTTAAAAAGTAATATAACAATAGGGGCACCAAAGTTTCTCATTTTCTCTTTCTTATATCATCTCCTGTTTGTTACAGGTATGGTATGTTTCTGAAATTTTATTTTTTTTTTCAATTTTATTTTCTACTATTTCAGTTGTACAGCTAAGTGGCTAGATAATCATATACTTGACATAGTATTCCATTTCATAGTTCTAGAACCCCAACTGGTACCATACAGTTATCACAATATTATTCACTATGTTTCCTGTAGTTTACTTATTTCCCCATAACTATTTTGTAATTACCAGCTTGTGCTTGTCCATCCCTTCACCTCTTTCGTCCAGTTTCCCAAACTTCTTCCCCTCTTGCGACCACCAGTTCTTTCTTTGTATGTGAGTCTGTTTCAATTTTGTTTATTTTGTTCTTTAGATTCCACTTATAAGTGAAATTATATGGTATTTGTCTTCTTCTGTCTTTTTTAACTGAGCATAATACCCTCTAGGTCCATTAAAATTTGAGACTGTTTTTCTCCTGCATAGCATTTGCAAGCTGTGGTTTAGATAGTATAAATTAGTTATTTTTCTTTTTTTCAACTATCCTAAAAGAACAGTATAAATAATTAAGCTTTTTATACAGAGAATACACTGGTAGTTCCTTACTGTTCCTTGATTATTTAGGTCAGTGGTTCATCAACAGTCACTGGAGAACTTCTTAAGATGCAGGTTTCTGAACCCTATATCCAGAGATTCTGGTTCAGTAACTCTGAGTGGGGTCATGAATTTGCATTTCTTACAAACTCCCATATCACTCTGATGCTGCTGGGTCCTAAGATCATACTTGGAGAACCACTAACCTCTGTGGTACAGAAGAGACCTACTTGTAATAAGGCCTCTTAAAAAAATTCAGTAAAATAAAACTCAAGTTGATGAGGTATTAGATAAATACCTCAGCCAAAACTATTTTTCCCTTAAGCCAAAACTATTTTTTATTATAGTACTACATTAGTTCTATTTTATGATAATTGTAAATTGGATTTGCTTTGAGTTAGTTTCTGCAGCCCACAACTTCAGTTGCAAGTAACTAAGGAATTTGTCCACCTGTCTCATCTTTAGAACTGCGCTGTGCTCTGGCTTGCCAGGAGGAGCAAGGGTCACCCCAGCTCTGCGGCTGGGACTCCAGGCCAGGGTCACTTCTTTACTTGCACTATCAGAGGCAGCACGTCCAGCTTGACAAACTCCAGGAGGCTCCTGATAGGGGAGCCTGTGGGCGCCAATCTAGGAGACCAAACCCCACCTGCTGCAATCCGCCAACCCAACCCCGTCCGCGAGTCTTTTCTCCTCCTGGGTACCCTCGTGGAGCCGCGGTAGCCACGCGGGCACCAGAAAGAGTCCCTGGACTAACTAGGCGAGCAAGTTTGGACTCGCGGGAGATCCCGCAGAAGTCTGCGCCCGGAACCGCCGCCTAGGAGCAGTCCCGGGATCACCGCCTCACAGAGAGCCACTCGGCCTAAGGACCAACCCAGCCGGGCTCTCCGGATCAGGAGAAGCTCCGCAGGCCCGCGAGCCCGTCCACTCAACTCGGCCCGGCCCGCTGTCGCCCTCGGGCTTTGCGAAGATGACGCCCAAGGCCGATGTCGGCTTCGTGAAGGAGGCTTCTCAGCAGATCGTAGCTGGTGGTTCCGCCGGTAAGTCTGCTCCGTTGGGGGCAGATGCTTTTCATCTTTGCTTGCAAACGTTTCTCAGGCAAGTTTCCCAACCGAAGTTTTGCCATCTTCCTCTAAATTCCGCGCCGCGAGAGCAGGACCTGAGCCAGCTGAACCGGAGCAAAGGAGGGCGGGAGCGGGCGGCGGGTGTCCTGCGGTCAAGGTGCCGAGGCGCTCCCGTCGGCCGCTCTCGGGTTCCCCTTCTCCTTGGTTCCTAGCCTGCGAAGCAAGGTAGGCAGCCCCAAGGCCTGCGACTTTGAGGAGGCCTTTTTGCCTGCTGGCTATTTTACTTGAAACCATCCAGCTTCTGCCAGACTTAGCTTTGCTCTCTGTTGTAGCCTCTTTCTTCTGAGTTAATTCAGATCTTGCATAACTCCTAACTCCCTCATTAAAATGTGTACCTCAGGACTCTACGGGTCTTCTTATTGCATACTGTGCTTGCTTGGGGCTATTTGTGCCCTAAATAGACATATAAAATTAAATGCTTCTGTTAACACATACAAACACCTTTGATAAAACGGGCTCACATTAATTTAGGGAGAGTTATAGTGTGGGGAAAAACATTAGAGAAAATCTGTGCTACTAATAATGGAAATAATTACTAAGTGTGGCTAGAGAAAGTTATTCGTGCGATTATGTTATGTGAACATACTTTAAAATATGTTATGAGATGACTGAAAAATTAATCTTACATACTGTGATGCATTCTTATTATAAACATAAATTATTATATAATTCACTTGTTACCATATAACATTTATATAAATGTAGATAGTCTCTTAATGAATTATATTATGGTAACTGTGATAAATTATATTAAGACACTGACTAGATATCTAGTGTTTAACTTCCACTAGTAAAATTTACTTTATTTTCAAACAAATTTGAACTTTTTATAAAAGGGACTACTACAAATTATGACCAGTTTTCATCATGTCATGAACTACTTACATCTCAGGGGTATAGCAAGCAGCCAGATGTATCACTTACAGTCTGTATACTTTCCCAAAGATGATATTTTATTAATATGGAAATCAAGGCATGAATTTATTATATGTAATTATGCTATGTCTGTCCATTGTTAAGATGTCAGTGGCTCCACTGTCTACTTTTCCATTTGTTTTCCTGTAGTGATGATGAATCTGCATCAATTTATTCACCATTTTGGTCAGATTCCACAATGGGGCACTGAGGGGAACTCAGGAAGTGAACTCTTGCCATGTCTTTCTTTTTCTCTTTGTCAAATGGTTAAGCATTCCCAAAGCAGCAAGGTGGTGGCTAAAAATGGGGCCACAAGTAATATTACTACAGGTGTTAGTATCGCTTTCATAAATTTGCCTGGTAAGGAATAAATATGCCCAAATGGATTCAGACAGTTAATTACTTACCCAGAAAACAAAAGCAAGTAATTATGGTGTCAGTTCCCTGTGTTCCTTGTTCTATAGGTAACACCAAACTGAGCAGACCAGATGGTAAGTGGTATGAGCAGTAGGTCCCTCTGCTATTGGTCTCTCAGAACCACAGCCAAGCAGTTTTACAGACTTCACTGAAGTCTGCAGCTTAACCCTAAGTAGGAGTGAGGTGGAAAATCTTGTGCTCAAGTGAAACTAGGCAGATTGATGAGAAATGGCCTTGTGGAAGCCTTCCACAAGATAATGGGAGAAACAGCCTCTCAGAAGCTCTTCAGCAGGCTGCTAATCTTCCCTTAGGCTAGAAGAAATCACAGGACATCTGCCAAGACTCAGGTCAGATTGTGGGTAAGCCTTGCCCAGGTGGTCTATGTGGAAATGTGCAAGGTCGTCAGGTGCCACACTGTGGATGGAGCTATTTCCTTATGTTCTTCTGGTGACTCCATCAGTCTTCCTTCTGCTGTTGTCTGCTCTGGAGTCCACATGGCAGGTGTTCCCCAATAGCTCCTGCACTTACATGCTTCTTGATTTCTGTTCTGTAGAGAGAGCAAGAGGAGACTGACATGCAATTTTTGGTTCTAGTGTAAAATCTGAAGAAAGACCCAAAATAACCCAGTACTGGTCAGGGACCCACCTCTTTACCAATTATAGCCAATGCCCATGTGGATGTTGGGGCAGGGGTGGGATGGAAACTCATGGGAGATTTTCCCCAGAGGAGCTACACACATCATGAGATGGGCAATAGGTGTCTCTTATAATTACATAAACCTATCTTTTATTGAAAGATGGTTTGTAATATTTATATTTAAAAAATCAAAGAGATTAATGCACTGACAGTTGCTTGGACAATATACATGTAAAGACCAACTTTGAGTTTATAGCTAACTATTATATTTAGATATTATAACCAATGGCAACTTTGTGTTGTATGATGAAAGCTGCACTCAAGACAAGTCAGTATGTACTGAAGTTTTACAGGCTTCTAGTCTGCATTTTCAGCTTCAAGTAGTAGCCATAAGATTCAGGTGAGAGAATAGAATCCAATGATGAGGGCTTCAGGAAGATCACTGAGGTCTAGCACTGTAGAGGGATTAAGGATGAAAGTGAGAAGAGGCCACTGGATTAGACCCTTGGTATCAGTGTGGTCCAGGGGTAAGCAGCAGGGGCATGGCAGCACCTGGAAGCTTGTTAAAAATGTAGGTCCTCAGGCCACATTCCAGACATACTGTATCAGAATCTGCATTTTAGGGAGGTCCCCAAGTCATTGGTTTGTACTTACAAGTTTTAGAGGTATTGCACTTGACCTCTGAGAAAAGAGAGCCCATAGAGTGGGAGCCCAATCAGAGGGTTGCAAGTTAAATTTCTTGGTTTTTATTGCTGACCATAGAGAGAATGAATTTTGTATGCTGTGTCATGTACCCTCAATTTAGCTTTCATATTTATTTTCTATCCCTTTCCTACACATTCCATTTGGTTTCTGCTAAATAAATCTGCTAACCATAGTTGAATGTTGCCTGTACCTTTCCACCTTTATTCCCAACACCTTTATCCCCAACAAGGGGATATCTTCCCCTTGTTTTTTCTACCTATTATAATCCTATCAATTTTCCAAGGCTTAGCTTGAAAACTATCTTCTCCATAAATGTTTCCCAGATGGTCTCTACAGCCCCATCCAGCTTTAGCATTCTCATTAACATGTGACTGGTACAAATAGTGAAAATGGCTAGCATTTATTGAGTCAACACTTAATGCCAGACCCAGTTCTAAGGTTTATGTGTATTAACATTTTCAATCCTTACCACAACTCCAGGATAAAGAAACTGGTGTACAGAGGGTCTAATTAACTTGCTTATGGTTGCACAAGCATGTAACCATTTCCACAAAAAATCAGGATAGGGAAGGGACTAGAAAAATATTATTCCTATTGACAGATATTTATTGGAGAGATCAAGTCAAGTATGCTATCCCTTATCATCTATGTCTTATTATTTTACATCCCTTAGGAGAACTTTTTATCTATAAATACAATCCTTATAGTGTTTCTGCTATAGTATCTTGCTCTTTTCAAATAGTTCTTTGTGTGTGGGCACCAATTAGCTTTTAGCCAAAAGAAAACCCTCAATCCACCCAGGGCCTCTATGTGCAGTTGGGCAGATAGTTGTCTGCAAAAGGACTCTGGTCACTGGAGCCATTGGGGACTGAAATCTAGCCCGTGCTCTGATCCATCATCTGTGTACTCCAGAGCTGAGATGCCTCCACCCAGGGGAGAATGGACACCTTTTTCTATTTCTCACAGAAGCACCAAATCGATTGGCAGCCAACCTGACAGCAACACTGACTGAGTTTCCCTAAACTTGCTAGTGCTCCTAAGGTCCCTGGGCTTCAACATCCCTAGATGCCACATCATTACACTGCACATTAGCAGAGCTCTAGAAGGTTTCTCTTTTATGCATATCTCTTCCTTGGAGCCAGGAGAATGGCTCCACCTGAGACCTGGTCATGCTCGCTAAAGACTAGTTTGGGCTTTTCATGTGTTTCCAAAGTTCATGGAATTCTTATCTAATGTCATGCAGGAACTTTTTAGGCCCACTCAGATGGTTTTCTCCTTCAGGTTCTCATAGGGCTTTGCACCCCAACTTCAGAATCTTCCAGGGTCTCTGATGAAGTCCTCTTGGACTCCTGAGAGACCCTGTTCTTACCAGGGGTTGTCAGGCTCCTTCCTGAAGGCATGCTTTGGCCCTGTTCACACTGAATCCCTTCCACAGTGGCATTTCTAGGATCCTTCTACTCTTGCCTCTCAGAATCTTATACTCATATTCCTCGAAGACTGTAAGTTCCACTCAATGTTTCCTAGAACTTTCCTCCTTCATTTATTGCTTATATGATCACCAGGCTGGCAGGATGCTGACTTACTTCTCCAGCTCTACACTAGTCCCTTTATCCTGTGGGCATACCTCCCGGGCATCTTCAGTCACTGCACAGAGAAGTTTTAGTCAAATTGTTCAAAGTATTATGGAAACAAGTTTCCCACTTTTGCATTAGACACAGTTTCAAGTCTTTGTATCTCATTAGTCACTTTCAAGGGGCCAAATGAGAAAGTGAAAGGAAAGACCTTTTAGGGGGAAGGGAAACCTGTATTCATGGACAGGCTCTGGGGAGATGAACTATTGAGAGTACAAGTGAAATGTCCGTTGCATTGTTGGGAGAGCGTTCCAGGCTTTTGATGTAAAAAGGTTACTAAAAAGATATGGGATAATTTTAAATCTCATGTTTTAAACCCCTGATCTTACAGATCTTCTTTTTCACAAGATTTATACCTATTATTGCCCTAGTTAAAATGCAGTTAAAAGAAATGCCTTAACAGGCAGTATGGTACTAGTAGTTCTCTGGATTTTAATTTGGACTAGGTAATAAAAGAGGTGATGCACCAGGGGGTAATCAAGGTTAAAATTTTGTTCAAGGAGAATTCTTTTTCAGAATGGGTGCCAAGGGGACACACATGTGATTTGGATAAATGGCACCTTTGGAAATTCAGGATTTGGGAAACTGCAATTGTTTGATAATAAATAGCAG